TGTAATACGTATTCGTTGGATTTTCATTTCTCTAAAGATGACTGAACGAACTGAACAGAGGAACTGCATCATTTTTTTTTGGCCAAAGCTTGATGATTTTCCAAGTGAAACAAGTCGTAAGATTCAGCAAGTGTTTGGAGACGATGAAATGGGGATCACATAAATTAAGGAGCAGTTGAACCGATTCAAAAGTGGCCGTACGTCGGTAGAGAGTGACCTCTCGAAAGGCCACAAGCCTCTCGAAAAAAAGGGGGATAATCGGACAATGTAAGATCGTCGTTTAACCGTACTACAGACTACTTAATAAGTTGAGATCAGTACAGGTTCCGTACTTGCAATTTTGTGTGATCATGCGCAAAAAGGCTGGAATATATCTTCCCAAGCTTCTGCCGATGGAACGGAAACACTCCATCGTGCAGTTTCAAAGGATCTGCTGGACACTATCTTGGCTTCTTATGACTTCTGGCCGTTCCTGAAAATGAAAATGCCATTGAAAGGATTCCGTTTTCAGAGTAGAGATGAGATAAGGCAGAATGCGACTGCGGAGTTGAACACCATTCCAAAAGAATACTGATGCGAAGCCATTAAATTATATTTTCAATATAAATAACCCAAGTTCAGATTTGCTTAATCGCGTCTGATTGATTGATTGAATATTAACGTCGCACTGTTCAGCTACACGAGGGCTTTTGGCGACGGACCACGTAATTTTGAACCATGGTCAAGTGACGTGGACGACACCTTGCTTAATCGCGTCATGGCCAATGTTAAATCAACGAAATTTAACTAGAATAGTTACTCAAAGATTAGACGAACATTAATTTAAGTTATAACTAAACTTATTATTACACATTTAAAATTTTACAACTACAAAAAAGAATACAATAAGAGAAAACTTAGCTTTAAGTGAGAAAGAGAGAGGAGAGCCTGGCTGACCTGTGTCCATGGGAGGTAGCAATTGACTCTCCTCTACATGGTGTTTTTGGGTGAAGTTGAATGGGAAATAGTCCGCCGAAATTGGCGCGCGTCTCATTAAATAGTGAACCGAATCACCTACAACTTCTTGGGTAGAACTCACTACTGTCTTCCAAGCTGAGTCTCTAATTGGATATTTCCAATCGCGCAAAGTTACATTCTATAAGATTTGTGAGATTTTAGACCTCAAAAAAAGGGACTCAAGATCTTGACAGACCCTTTTCGAAGGAATGTGACGACATCGGGTCAAGGGGGCTCATATAGAAATTACGAGAAAAAAGGGAACCATCCAGCCTCCCATCCATACTTCTAAAAGTGTTTTCAGCAGTCAAAGGAATACTGGGCTAAGTGTGTAAGTGCGCAATGGGCCTACTTTGAATTAAATTAAAATCCTAATGCCACAAAGTAACTAAGACTTTTATGGCGAAAGGTCAGATACTTTTTAAACAGATCTTGTATGTACTAATGGTAAACAGATTTCTTTAAAAAAGGAAACCCCTTTTTCACTATGAAATAATACAGTTTTAAAAACAAAATTCTTTTTTTTGTTCATTAAATTAATCTGTGTGTTTCATTTATTCAAACTGATGATAAATTTTGAATAATAAATGAAATAAATTACATTTTCTGTAAGAAAAGTCTAATTATACCATTATTATTTCTAAAAGAAGATCTTTTTATTCATCGCAATTTTATTTAAATGTTTAAAACATATTTAAACATTTTCTAAAGAGGGTTCTTTGAAAGAATTTTTCAAACGAAACGAACAAAAGAGTTTGTTCCAAATTTTCAAAAGTATCTTGATAAAGAAAAACACAGCTCCGATACCAAAAAAATATTTTCTAACCAGCAAGGACACTTTTCCTCTCTTTCGATAAAACTTACTTCCAAATCTCCATAGAGGATTAAGTCTTTTATGTGTCCCCAGACAAGACCTTCATCAAACAAGCTTAGTGGATTTTAAGCTAGAAAGATATTTCTCCTCTGTATAGATACTCAATTTGCTTGGCAATTTCTTTGTTCCTTTTTAAGCATATTTTGTTTCTTCCTTCTTTTTATTTCCTAATTGTATAAGTATTCATGTATCTTAGCTAAATCAATCAAGAGAATCCTTTATTGGAGGTTTAATTAACACAATTAATGTATTCCTGTAAATTACATGCTTAAAATATCTATTGATTTTCCTTAGCAGTTTGATGAGACTTTCTTTTTCTTAATGAGAATACCTACCCGGCCAGTTTGTGATATAAATCTAAAAATACTTGTCATGGAATGGGATTTTATGGACTAATTGATGATAGTATTAACAGATAATAACAAAAAAAATTAAGTTAATTCCTACTTAGGTCAACAAAGAAAAATTTTATTTTAGTTACTTTTTATTAAAGAATTACAATTAATATAAATATGTAAAAACGTATGATAGAATCACAATATTAAATGACAAGATAGAAAGCGATTTTCCTTTTTCATTTCTATATACGGTGTTGGACTATTATTTTTGTTTGTTACTATTTATTTATCAATTAAATTTAATTATTCCAATAAAATAGTATAGTAAAAAGAAAACACATTCGCAGAAATTAGGCTGTCTCAGGTGGGATTCGAACCCACGACCTTTGGATTAGAAGTCCAACCCACTATCCATTGCGCAACAGGGTCACAATTCAAAATTTTCCTTTTTATATATTTTCTTGAACTATTATTTTTGTTTGTTACTATTTATTCATTAATTAGTGAATTAATACATAAGTTTATTAACATCAAGTGTCATCCACTACAAGTTTAAGCAAAATGTATTTGAACTTGAATGGATGAATATAAAGTATTTTATTAACGATTGAAAATTTGAACAAGATATATATATAAATAAATATATATAGGGAGAGAGTGAACTATAATAGTAGGAATTGAAAAACTTATTCTCTTATCAGGGAGTGGGATTTTGTGGACTAATTGATGATAGCATTAAAAATGTATCTCCTGATATGAGTTCGAAAATGTTCCCCGAGTTTATTATTTGTATTTTTAAATTCTGAAGTCGGAATTGAATGAACGTAGAAAGGATTTTGAAAATAAAGTTTCTGTAATGAATAGCTAAAATAATAATTTGGGAGGGGGGCTCTTAACTGACTGGCATTCTACGAACTGTTCAAGTTGCTGGAAGCAGCATTGGACCTAGGAACATGCCATACAAAACAAAAAAGTATGCGATTAGCTACCAATTAAAGTATCTTTTTCAATTTTGGTTATAATTTTAACTAACATTCCTTATTAAAATGTAATCTATGAATGCCCTGATTAGAATAAAAAAATTCATACTAAATATTTCTAAAAACATATTTATAGAGAAGTAAAAAGATAATATAATTTTATTTTGCATTTGTATAATAATTGAGCAGTTTATTCTAATATAATTAAAAGTTATTTTTGTAAGCCTGTGACGCGGGGCTTTATCGACCCTTCTAACAAATCCTCTTGGGGAATCTTTGGGGCCAAAATGGCATTTTAATCCAACCTTCTCGAGAAGAAAACGAGATATGCAGATTACTGAATAGATATATAAGGGAGCTTTAGCGTTCACGAAGTAGTCATATAGAAATCGCCTAGAAGCCGGAAAGTTGAACAGAAGCTGGATAAAGTCGGTTAATAATATATATAGAAGATTAATAATAAAAGGATAGAATACAAGAGGAATACCTAAGGCGTGGGTGCTGATCGCCATGTGAATTGGTAAGAGATTGATTATTTAAGTGTAATGATAGAACGGACTTGAGCTTGTTAAGGGATCTACTATAGATATTTGGAGGCTAATTTCTCAGAAAGATTGTGAGTAGGATTTCAGGCGCTATTTTAACTTAGAATTGATAATTATGTAGTATCACTCCTGATCTGATTCCTCTAATAAGACTTGTGTTGCATTGATTAATATATACTGAGAAATAATAAATTAGATTTGTTATGGAGAGTTCGAGTGGTCAATCATTTGTTCCTACAAATCTAGGTCGCGTGGATGAAAAGATGATACCCCAGGGCAAGGGGGGTATCACAAACCCTTAAAGATATTTGAGACACAAATTTTTGTGATTATTGTCACACACACGCACTCTATTTAATAATAGCTACTTCATTTAAAACTTCCATAAGTTACACGTTTATTATCCTTCCAAAAAATAATAACGAGCGCATTCTGTGTGCAGATTTTTTTTAAATCTTAAAACGTGTAATTATTTTTCTACACAGATATTCATAATAATAAACAAGCGCTGTAACTAAAATATCATATAATTCAGATTTTTCTCTTTTCTGCTAACAAAATATAATTACCTCATTTTAGTCCGACTTTTAATGAAAATAACTTATCCATTAGATTAAATTCCATAAAAACAATGTCGTAATTTGAAACCCCACTTAAGGAAGATAAATAAATTCAAAACTTCAATAAAAAAGTTATTTGATGTAAGTTTCACTTTAATTAGCTCGCATATAATTGTTAATGAGTACTGTAAATATAAATAACTCTTAACTGAAGGACTATTTAAGTTCATTAAAAAAATTGCTTCATTCAAAATTAATTTGAGCTTAATTATGCCTCTTTCGTTAAACAATAGTTTTCGTTTGAATTAAGTTGTTGTGATATAAGCTTCCTTTTGAAAAGGAAAATAATTATTCTTAGACTTCATCAATCCCTCTTTAGTTGTTTTGATTTAAATTTTTTTACTTCGCAATCAAAATGAAATCAAGTAATATAAAAAAAGCTAAGCCAATTCCTATACACTTAGGTCAACAAAGAAACATTTTATTTTAGTTAATTTTTATTAAATAGTTACAATTAATATAAATATGCATATACATATGACATAATCACAATATTAAGTGACAAAATAGAAAGCGATTTTCCTTGCAATTTTCCATTTTTCTTTCAAAAAGGTTTTGGACTATTTTTTTGTTACTATTACTATATAAATTTAATTATTCTAATAAAATAGTATAGTAAAATATAAATCACACTTTCAGAAATTAGGTCATTTCAGGTGGGATTCGAACCCACGACCTTTGGATTAGAAGTCGAACGCGCGCGCGCTATTCATTGTTCTACAGGGTCACAACGAAAAATTTTCCTTTCTATGTATGCTGTTGGACTGTTATTTTTGTTTGTTACTATTTATTCCTTTTTTAATTTAATTAATGAATAAATATTTGAAAAACTATATTAGCATCAAGTGTCATCCACTGTAAGTTTAAAACACACACAAGTAATTTAAAAAAAAATTTATGTCAATTCCTACGTAGATCAACAACGCAAAATTTTAGGTTTAAGTGTAGTATAGGTGGCTTAGCGCAGTTCTTTTTTAATGGCGTCTAAAAGCGGTCGCCAAGATACTTTTTTCGGAATTGTTTATTATTTATTTTAGAATGAATTCAATATCTCACCATGGCATTTAGATAAAAATCGCCTAATCCAAAGAAAAATCGCTAAATCCCACTTGAGCCAAAATTTTATTTTAGCTACTTTTTATTAAAAAGTTACAATTAATATAAATATGTTTTGCGGAGGCGGTTCAGAGAGCTCACGACATTATCTGATTGTCCATGGACACGACAAATATATATATATATATATGACTGAATCACAACATTAAGTGGTAATTAATTTTTATTAATTATCATTAAAATATCGTATTGTCATCAAAAACAATCGTGTATATGAAATTTCAGTACAATTGAATGCTTTAAAACGTAAGAAAAGAATCATTTCATTTTTAGACACAAATCGCTAAAAATGATGCCAACGTGGCTGTATTTGTAATTCTTTAAATAATTAGTTTGAATCAATTAATTTTTATTAATTATAATTAAAATATTGTACTGCCATACAAAATAATCATGTATATAAGATTTCAGTTCAATCAAGCGCTTTAAAATGTATTTTTATTGACGATTGAAATTTCCACCAAGATAAATAAATAAATAAACAAACAAATAAACAAATAAATATATAGAGAGTGTGAGTTAATAGGAGGAATTGAAAAATGTATATGAACTTGAATATATGAATAGAAAGTATTTTATTAACGATTTAAAATTTTAACAAGATATATATATATATATATATATATATGTTAAAATTTAAAATTTTAACAAGAGAGTTTGAACTAATAGTAGGAATTGAAAAATGAAGAAACAACAGGAACAAATTCCAACAAGTGCTACTTCAGAAAGAAATTCAAAATAAAACAATTCCACCAGGATGTTATTTCACTGCAACTGTTCCTCAATTACAAAAGTTCCTAGACCCACTTAACACCGAAATTCATTTAAGAGGTTGACAAACACTCTCCTTTTCTCAACAACGTCTTGAGAGAATTAGAGAATAACAAAGGAACCGTCTTAAGAGAATCAAGAGATAGCACTATCTCTAATTAAAAGCAAATCTAACATTTCCACTCGAGTGAGCCCTGCTGATGACCCCAGAAGACCAAAGGTGTTATACAGAACATATTTCCCACTTCACAATGGGATCCAATTTCCTTCTGGTTTTGAACGGAAAATTGGTCGCGCCAGGAAGCAGGTCAGATATTACATAATGCCCCGGACGAATGAGTTGATTTAATTATCGTCCTGTTCCGCCTAGTCTGGCTGGAGACGGTTTTCGGACATTAGTACGAAACGAGCACCTGTTTAATCGATAGGATTCTTACGCGCGCCTGTAATTAAAGGAAGATCTGGCAATAATGGGAATTAATCTTCTTTTCCGTTGGAGTAATTGAGATTCGTTGCTGGGTGAAAAATCTTTTAAGGAAATTAAGGAAATCTTAACTTTTTTTTGTTACATTTTCTTTTTTATGCGTTAATCAACTTGAGAATTTCATTTAGAGAGAGAAAACGAAGACATCTTTTACTTGACTTGACTTTTCTTTAGATCACGATCGGTAATGAAGGAAAATCCTTTTTGAGAGACCTTTAGCAGCATTTTTAAAAGGTTTTGTCTAATTTTCTCTTCTTTTTTTTTCGGATGCCTCTTTTGAGCTTTATCTTTTACAGTTTATTTTTCTCCTACTTTGTATGATTGCAAATATCTTTTTCATTCATTATTTCGGGTACATTATTTTCATCAATTGATTGATGAATCGAACTGTGTTTTTTAAATTATTCTTATTTATTGGTAAACGTTTTTTAAAAAAATTACAAAAGGCTTCGAAAATTTTCAGTTTTTCATTTTAAGTAAATGACAATTCGAAAATTAAATTCAAAAAGTAATTTACTTTTAAAAATATATATTAACCCTTTGACCGGAACATCCGTCTCTCAGACGGGGATGATTTGCTGTGGTGTGATTTTTAAGGTGGGTTGCCTTGACAGCTTCAGTTGGACTCTACCCAGTGAGAGGATCACGTGGTGGTACCTGGCGAATTTTTTCAACTCACGATATGCGTGATTTTTCTTATCTATCACTGTCTATCGAATGGATATTCCTATAGTTTTTTTGTGTTTAGTATTATTATTTCTAATTACTTTTACGTGAATACAAATAATTTTTAATCGGTTTTTATAAAAATACTAGTCACAATTCTAGTGATGAAAAATGCATTGTTGGGCTTAATTTAACTTCGCACATCTTATTTGAGCCATACTCAATTTCATGAGCTATAAGGACATTTAAAATAGTCCTTAAAGTAATAAAATTCAAAAAAAAATTCTCGTACCTGTCTGTGAGACAGATGTTGCTCAGTGCGGCAAAAAAAATTAAAGTTCCGTCCAGAGGGTTAATGTTATAAATTTTTATATTTTTTTAACTATATCTTTTTTATATAACATTCCAATGCTAATATATTTTTTATTCGTCACAACCAAGGGGCTGTATCTCTTTCAGATAAGCAATAAAATATATCCATACCCTGTAGCTTGTCTGAAATGAATATCACGTGGTCGTATCTTTTGCTTGGTTTATAAATGTAGATTATTATCCTTACTTGCTTGTAATTAAGGTGACCAGTCCTTTTACATTAAAATGGAGGACGAAAAATTTACAAAAACATTACGACTACATATATAAAACATTTTATTAGTTCAATAAAAAATACACTAATTGCGCTTACATCTCTTTTAATTATTTGCTTAAATGAGTATTTTTCCATTAAATGAATTGTTTCTCAGTGTATCATTTTCTAATAGACCGGAAATATCGGATCAAGAAAAATCCTTCATACTGAAGTGCTGCAGCTAAAATATTAAAATTCAGTTTTGATTTGTCACATGTCTAATAATCATTGCCAATTGGAAAAAAAACTCTTTCAACTGCTGCATTAGTTCCAGGGCAGTACAATGTAAATTCAACCAGAATAACTAAATTTTCACATGGAATGAGTTCATTTTTGAAATGGTTAAATATTTCCACCCATCTTTTATCAATTGTAACATATTGATTTACCCACTGTTCTAATTTACCAAAATTTAAATAACTTCTTTAAACACACAATTCTCATTAATTTTAACATCCGGGATTTCTTTCAATAACAACTTATTGAAACTTAACAAAATTTCCTATATCTGCCCAATTTACTTTCAATGAAGTAAAGCGTAACAGTTCTCCGCCTGGCATCTAATAATACAGAGATTAAAACATAAGTTTTGTTGTTGTGGCTAATGCCATTTGTCTGACGTAGTCAGAACGAGGCCCACAAAATTCATCGTGGCAAGGGGCTAGAAGTACGCCTGTCGTTGGCCTTGAGTACCATACAGGTGACAGTACGAATTAACTCGGTGAAATTCCCCAAAGGGCCGATAGATGGCGACACCACCTATCTCCCCCTTCACAATTTAGACATGTTGCTGAAGGGGAGAGAAATATTCTCCAGTTCCCTGCACTCATGATTCAACCCACAAGAATTTCGGACCCACTTATTTAACGAGCACGTACTTCGTGTGTACTCGGAGGGTATTTAGTGGCATCGAGCATCGAACCCAGGTCTCCCGGTCTAAAGTCCGATGCTCTAAGCACTAGGCTACCCACGGCCATTCACATAAGTTTTAGTACTTTGAAAAGGAGGACACTTTTCGAGGAAGGACAGAACCTATAAAAGTAGGACGATTGGTCACCTTATTATAATCATTTCGAGTTTGATTCAATGACTTGTTTACCCATGCTGCGTTGTCCTCCCCCTGGTAATTCAAACGGCGAGAGTGATCTTCACCTCGAACAATATGAGAAGAGGGTACCACGATGTGTGTGAATCTATCGATTTTTTATTGAAGAAACGCTTTTGTAAATTTCTTGAGCACTGATTTAAATATTAAATGCTAAATAAAATATTTTTCAAAGACAAAATTAGAAAATATTTTTTAAACTCTTTTTCTCTTAATTTTTGGAATTGAGCTTAAGCTGATTTTTAATTTCGCTTAATTTCTTTTTTAACGTACTCTTTCTTCTCTGTTTTCGGAAGGCTTGCTGTTTGTAAAGAAAAAAAGCATGACTTATGTATACATGTAACCACTCTTGTCATAACTGTTACTGATAGAAACGCCCTCTAGTGGTCACACATCTAGTGCATGCTAAATGAGGGAAGAATGTGATAGCCATGAAAAACCAGTCATGGGTTTTTTTCTCCTTAATTTTTGTTAATGATATTTCTGTTGTCTTTGTTTTTTCCAACCTATATTAATAAACTATTGTTACACCAGTGCTCTCAAAGTTTCAATATTTGCGACCCAATATTCAATCATAATTTTCATCGCGCCCCCTCCATACGATAACAATGTATTGAATTCAATAATACTATAGTTAGACACTAAAGCTGCAATATATATATATACGACTTTAACCTATTAAGTGCTACCGTCGTATATAAACGTCTCGCTCAGCCAAAGCGTTAATTGCACTGGACGTATATGTACGTCTGTCCGAAGTTACGATCTTTTCTGTGCACTGCTATGCATAAAATTCTTCCGAAGACTTTGGAATGCAATAAAGGGACTTTGACAGTGTTTGCGAAGGATTTACTTATTTCACAGGATTTGCTTATTTACTCCTTTTCCCCACTCCCCGCAATACATCACATACACTTGTCCACGTGGAAAATGGTGACATTAGGGAGCGAATC